CACAGTGCACTAGAGTGCTGTTAAGTACTAGGCTCTGCTGGTGGGCAATGGTGCACACAAAGTACAGCAAAGTGCTGTCAAGTGCTAGGCTGAGCAAGGGTGCAAAGGTGCTCACGCCAGTGGTGGCGCCAGGAACAGGATTCTGGGGAAGTAGCAATTAAAAAATACTGTCCAAAGTATTGCCACAACAGAGCACTGTTGAGGGTGTTGTTGCAGCAATGTGCCGTTAGTTGGTAAACATCGTACCAGCACTGGTGAGACAGGTGTTGGGGTGAGACAGAGACAAGTTGTTTTGCGGCAATTTGACCCTCTGAATTGAAAAGTGCTGAATTGTTGAATCGATTGATGTTGAAAGAAATATGGGAATACATGAGCTTGAATTTGATCTATAAGTATCTGTTCACTCAGCGATACATATGATTCTCAAACACTTTCAGATTATGTTTATCTATTTCAAGCATGAGTGTATTGCAAACTGCTAAATTAATCACAGTACTGATCAGTGATTCAGGGCTTAGACAGCTGTTGAAGCTTTCCTGATTGACGCACCCCAGAGCAGTGAATGAATGTACGTCACATGTTACTTAAATGTCTTTTGGGCACATTGCTGGGGTGATAACCTTCCCTTGACCCTAAGTACTAAAGAGCCTGGCAGTAATAACTTGAGAGCGTTAGATGTACCAGTTCATGTGATGCGAGCTGCACTCCCTTGTCCGGGCACTGCCCAGAAGGGCCATCCCTTTGGGGGCCACAAGTGCTATACTGTGTAGCAGTTTAAAGTACTTGTTCTACTTTTTCTGGCAAGGGTGCATAATCCTTCAAGGATTGGGACAGTACCTCCGCACAGAAACACGCCGCCAAGCACTGACCCTAGTGCCGCATTTCCCCAAACCCCAAGGAAAGAGTGTCATGCATGAGTTGACAGTCCTAATAATTGTTGTGCTGCTCCAACCACCCCCTCCCCCAAAATAAAGAACGTCATGCGCAAGTACATCAGTGAGTTCCGGGAGCACCAGGCACGGCAGCCCTCAGGATGGGCAAACAGCGAAGGGTGGCAGGTGGTGCCGCCCGTGGGTGTGGCCACCTTCGACTCACGCGGCCCCGGCATTGTTTATGTGACCATCGTGCAATTTGAGTCCGGGGCCGGGGGCCCGCAGTTGCTGGCGCGGGGTGTGGCCAAGAGCCGGGCATGCACACTGGTGGTGGCGGAGGGACAGGTGCGGCAGACTTTGATGGAATGTCTGCTTGTGGCACTTTGAAAAGTGAAAACTTTTCACTGTATATCATAACCTCTTTTGAAAAGATTTGCCAAAGGATTAGTACTTTACTGTACTTGTTTGCACCACTTTCACGGAAGGACTGTAGAAGACAAGAGCAGAGAATTCTGTTTCGCATCTGGTAGTGGCGGAGGGCCAGGTGCGGTGGACTCTATTGGAAAGTCTGCTTTTTTTTGGTTCCTCGTTTTGATTATGTTTGTTGCATGGCACAGCAAAGGCCCATGTGCCACATTGGCGATGCCGGGCAATGGTCCTCAGCATGTGTGTTTGTTTGAAACCACAAGTCCACTTTTGAAGTGAACAGCAGAAGAAGGAAGCAAGAGTGAAACGATTCTATTCATTCTTCTGGGCAAAGTGGTCAAGGGCTTGGTGTTTTGTAGTACTTTGTTGTGACATTTTTCCTTTAAAGCGGTGTCATGGTCCTGCATTTGAAATAGAATAAACAGAATATTCATTGCTTGCTTCTGTGTCATTTTTGTGTTCTGTGTGCTCTCAAACTTATGACTGTGCTTGTTGTCGAATCGCCCTACTTGTCCATAAGTCATTTGGTGCACAACAATGGCATGGCTGTCAGCAGTGGCAGCGACAAATTAAGAACTTTGAAGTAATCGGATTTTGTAAATTTCTATTGAATTATGGATCTATTTGAAGATAGTTTAATGGACTTATGAACAATGTTCTGTACCACTAATAACGGGCTTGTGATTAAAGTGGATGCACAAGTTCTACTATTTGGTATTCTGGCATGGTGCCCATCTTTCCCTGAAGGTGTGTTCCACGGTCACAGCATAGCAAGACTGCATTGCTATATCACCGCATTTTACATCATTATACTGCATTGTAGTCCATCATTTGTACTGCATCAGTGTGTTGCGTCATGGTACATTAGTGCACCATTTCGTGTGTTCCCTGAATGCAGGTGTGGGATGCCCAAGACCGGTGGTGCGCGGGCGATGAGGACTGGCTGGTGAAGATGTCAGCGACTTGGCTGGCCGATGGCGCAACACGTGCAAAGGCATTGGCAGCCATCAAAGCTGTTCGTCACCCGCAGACACAGGCGCAACTGCTGTCCAGGTATGCACCTTGCTTCACAAGTATATGGCATGTCAACACAGTATGCCACATTGTAGTCGGTTTGTATATACACAATGTGTGTGTTTTGTGTATGTGATGTTTTGTGCACATAGGTACCTCTCAAACTTCTCCGTAGTGTGGAAAGGTATGCAAAGTGTGTGTGTGGACAGCAATGCAGGCACAATCTCCGTACGTTGCAGTGCAGTGCTGTGGCGCAATGTAGTGTGCGGGCATCTGCGATTGTCGCTGTGGTGATGGCCCAGAAATCGTTCTAGCACCTTCGCCTTCCCCCGATTGGCTGACAGTTGTGTTTCATGAAAAATTGTGCCCCACGATATAGCTCAAGATATGGCTGATAAAATGTCACATATTACCAAAGGAATCCTTTTCGATTGCTTTGACTCTTTTGTCATTGAATCTATTATATTTTGAATTTTATTGCTTATTTCTTCAGGGTGGCTGGACAGCTGCAGAGCCTGACGATGCACGAGAACATGCACATCCGCTGCTCAGCAAGCGAAGCCCTTGCGAACCTGCAGGTGGGTTAAACTACAGCACAGTTGCGCTCCCCTTCATTACAATGGTGCATCATTGCACCAATGTACTTATGTGCATTGTGCTGTATTGATATGTGTGCCGCATGCACTTGAGTGCACCAAGTGTAAATTGACAATAAATAGCGAAAAACCTTGAGAAGGTACTTTGTTTTGTACTGCCATGCGTTGACCTGTGCAATGTGGTGTGACACTGTCTGCCAAACATTCCCTGATAATGGGTTCAACATTCAAGAATTTCCTTGCTCTTTGCTGTGCATTCTTCTGTCAGCATTGGCAGTGTGACATAAAGCATGCATTCGACACGCAAGGTGAACAGCTGAATTAACCCCAAGTACCGATACAACGAAATACTGTTAATTTCTAACTATCTCACTCTGCTGGTCATTCCGTTCAAAGTTTTTACCCCTGCTTTTGGGGTACTTTGTGTGCTCATATTCTGGATCATTTTACTCAGCGCTTCTTTGTTTTCCCTTTGCCATGATCGCAGGAAAGCGACTTGCAGAATGACGTGGCGGTGCAGAAGAAGGAATTCAAGAGGGGCGATTGGGAATCAAGGCAAGCCGGTTTCCTACTGTTGCTTTGTGTGTTTAGTTTAGTTTAGTATTGGAAGTAAGCAATGTCCCTTGTCCAGGGGGAAGAGGGATGGGCTTAGAGGTGTCAGCTTTGTGCCATTTCGCATCGGACAAACTATATAATCCCATATTAAGCTGAGTAAACTGAATTGTTCTGCAGCAGCATACCACTGTGTTGCGCTTTTGAAAATCGCGGCTTGGCAGTGCACCGTGTGCTGACACTCGCCCAGAACAAATTTTTTTGCACCATGCGCACCACGTGTAATGTTTGGTCGCTCGTTTTGTTAATGTTCGATATGCAGTTAATCTGCCATACTGAGTGTATGTGTTGCTTCACTGTGGCCAGTGGCATGCAGACAGACCAGCCCAAGAAGCACCGTCTGAGGCCCACGGAGGGGGCAGGCCACATGGTCCAGAAAAAGCACTCGGGAGGAAAGGACCCTGCAGCCCCAATGGATGGCGCCAAAAGACAGCCAAGGGACCTGAGAGAACTCCCAGTGTCCCCCCAAAAGGCAGCCAGGGATCCAAAAGATCAGAGGGCTGGTGGGGAGGGGCCAAAGAAGCAGGACAAGATGCTAAAGGAGCTTGCCAAGCAGGTGGTGGCGGAGCGGCGGCGGGGGGACGAAATGAGGAGCCAGGCGCTGGAGCTGAAGAAGCAGAATAGAGAGATGAAGGATGCCATCATTCAGATACGCGCCCAGGTTGGCAGTTTGGGGAATCCAAATTACTGGATCGCCTAACAAATGGTGCTAAAGCATGGTTGGGAGGACACTATTTGGTCCCTGTTTATTGCAGTTTAAACCTCATGTACATGGCACACTGGAGCTGAAGAAACGGAACAGAGATATGAAGGCCACCGTCATTCAGATAATACAAGCCCAGGTGGGCAGCCTTTGGAATCCAAGGTACAGGATCACATGCCACTGACTGACAAGTGGTACCAGAAGCATAGGAGGCTCTAGGAAAACACTATTTGTTCTAAGTTTAGTGCAGTTTAAACCCCATGTACATGGCACTGGAGCTGAAAAAGCAGAACAGGGAGATGAAGTGTGCCATTACTTGCAGATGCACACCCAGGTGGGCAGTTTTGGCATCCAAAGACTGGATCACGTGTTGCTGGAGATGGACAACGGGATTGGTTGTTGTCGTCCGTCCCCAAGGCACAGTTAGGGAAACACGATTTTGTCCCAGTTTAATGTGATTTCAAACCTCGAATACATGTTGCCCCATTTTAACACCATGTCGATGCACTTAGAAACTGTGTGGTATCGGCGATGTTGTGCCAGCTTTTCAGCATCCACGTGCCACCCAGGTGGGTGTTATGAGTTGGCGGCCAGTGGGTGTCCGATCCTGGCGGGGCGAATCGAACACAGGGTCACACAATGACACAGTAGCAGGGCCTGTGTCACATTGCCTGCGAATGGGCCCAGACACTGCACCATTTGGCAATGCCACATGGGACACCTTTTGTCACTAATCGATAGCATCCTGCTTTGCTGCCATCACAATTTTTGTGAATGCGCCCCTTGGTGTCGGAATGGCACCACAGCTGGCATTCCCAAAATGGTATGTTCTGCCAGTGTTGGACTTGTGGATTCGAGCAGGATGTGTGCTTGGGTCCATTGTCCGATGTCACCAGTTCGGTGCAATGGCTTCTGCTCTGCCATGTGACAAATGTAACCAATATATTGGTTCATACTCAGACTTGCATTTCTGCCAGTGCTGGACTTGCGCTGGGACAAGTGTCCCTGATGAGTACTGAAGTACTGATCAGAAAAGTGCATAAATACACTAGTGAAATACAGTAGTGTGCTGATGTATTCCTGATGTGTGCTGACGTTCCTGTGAGCAACTCGATGCCCAGGTGTCCAGAGATGAGCTCAAGGCTCAAGTGGAGTCCCTTAGGCGGCACAACAAGAAGCTAAAAGAGGCGAGCGCCAAGAGCCTGGAAGAACACCACAGGTTTGAGGGTCTGGCTGTGGAGGTGGGGCGGCTTAGGGAGCGTAACAGGCGGCTGGAGGAGGACGTGGCCGCGCTCGAGGCAGGGAGGTGGGAAGGGGGAGCGGAGGGAAGCGGGGGCAGGAGTCCAACAGGGGGGAGCGTCGGGCGGGGGCAGCAGAGGTGAGGGGAGCTGGCAAGAGCATGGGTGACTCGCGTGGTTTTGGGCTGTGTTTGGATTGCACGAAATTGGTGATGGCAATACTGTAAATGTGATGTCGATGGCGAAGTAAGCACAGATGTAATGTGCATTTGATGGTAGCAGAAGTAGCGATGATGATGGTGGTGATAATGGCAATGGCGGCAACAGTGATCCTGATAAGGAAAAGTGTTTGGAAGAGATGCCGAACTCGCCAGGCTCATGCAAAAGAGATAGGAAGTACTGGCGGGAATGCAGCTGTTTCACGAAGTTTGGGGTCGTGTTGGATTGTGCGAAATGGCTGATGGAAGTCATGTGAATGCTATGTCGATGCTATGTCGATGACAGTGTAAATTCAGCTGTGAATGTGGACGACATCTACAGCCACATCTGATTTTACACTGCTGCTGACATTACATTGTCATCGTCACATAGTGATGATGACAACGACGGTGGTGATGGCAGTGGCAGCGACAGTGATTCTGATGGTGATGAGAGCTAAATAGAATTGCCAAAATCACACATTTCGTTTGTGCAGATTGTGCAAACTGCTCTTGTGTTGAACTGTGTTTATGATGTCGACTTTGCGCAGCGGAGCGAGAGACTTGAGTGCTGAACTTGATCGAGTGAAGGCAGAGAATCGTGAGCTACGAGAGGCCAACTTGCGGCTGCTGGAAGAGCCACCCACCTACAGAAATGCCCTGGTCCAAGGGACCCAAGGAGCGAGGGCGGGGTGGGGCATGCTTGAGGAGGCTGTGGTGGGCTTCCACCTCTGCGAGCAGAGCGCACTGGAGATGGAGTGTTTCGAGAGATACTTCGAGGTGCGTGTTGTGGCAGTCTGTTGCGTTAGCTGAAAATTCACAAGTTTTCGATGACCCAAGTACTCATTCAAGTAATCATTCAATTCTCAAAGAAAATCGTACTATTCCTATTGTTAACCTGGTGGTATTACAATTCTCGCCCATCAATCAAGCTAAACCCGCAAAAATATAGCACAAACCACTGCAGCAATGCCGTGGTTATGTCAACAGACCCCATGCCACGCTGGCGTTCAAGTTAGGCCCTTGAGGACTGCGGCACACCTCGCGACGCCAGCCATAGCCCCATTGAAGGAAGGGTAAACTTTCGACGTAGGCGATTGGCTTGTCTTGCTCTTGGCAACCCACGAGGTTTGCCGGCGTCCATAGCAAAGCGGGCATTGGGGTGGGAGCCAGGCGACCTGAGGTCGTAATTGCAGCCAGGTCAAAAAGTGAAAGGACCATCCAATGACAAACCATGCTTGAACGCACTGAAAGCTTTTTACATGCGGGCTGTAACTCAATGGAACAACGTGGATCTCGCAACCACAGGGCAGAGCAACACGGCGTGACACAGCAAAATGGCAAACAACAGCGCAGCATGGTGTGGCGTGTGGCTCTCCTGCCCCAGTGGAGGGAGGCTGCTCACCCACATCCACCCATGCCGCCATCTGCATATGTCCCTCAAGCCGCCCGAGGGGTTTGGCGGGTGGGGGCACACATGGCAATGCCAGATGCGAGAGCGGCAGTAGACGTGGGTGTTGATAGCCCGCAATGGCACGCAAACACTTGCGGCTGTGCACGAAAGGATGCACCATGACTGCTTTGGAGACCGCTGAAAGAGTGCGCACTAGATGCCCCAACATTGGGGCAAGGTCACTAGCTTCGCAGGTCACTAGAAGAATGCTCACTAGAGCCTGTAGCACGGCGGTGAGCTGGCCGGCGTGGGGAACACTGTTACACGGTGCATTGCTAGGGCCAGCCCTCTCAAGGGTGCTGGGTTGTTGGCCGGTGCTGGGCTGTGAGGGCCACAAGCACCTCCTCCACAAACACCACAGTCGCAACATCACAAACTGTGGGAGTGGGAGGCCAATCGGCGCTACTGATCCCACTGCTTTTGCCCTTCGTGACCGCCGATCGTGGCCACCCGCAGATGCCTAGATCGGCACCTGCTGGTGGCAACAATTGGTGGCTGTGAAGGATAGATACCGTGGGTCAATTGGACAACGCCCGGCGCCCAAAATGCAGCCGAGAATGGCAAACGCATCGCCACGAAGCCATGGGGAGTGGGAGGCCAACCACCACCTCCCACTCCCACCGCTTTTTGCCCTCGTTGCTGCCTATTGTGGCAACCTTTGGACGCCTAGATTCGCACCTGCAGGTCACAACAACCAGTGCCCACGAAGGCCAGATGCCAGCGGTCAGTTGGAGATTGCGCCGCGCCCAGGGCATAGGAGAAAATGCCCAACCGCATGGCCACAAAGTCACAGGACTCGGGGGCGGATTGTGGCCTCCCACTCCAGCCATTTTCGCCCCTCGCAGCCACCGATTCTGGCCACTACAGATGCTAGGTTGGCACCCGCGGGTGGCAACACTTGGCGTCCTCAAGGGGCAAAAACGGAAAAGTGGACGTTGCTGCCACTGAGAACCGTCCCCTTTCCCTCTTTCACGTTTTGGCAGCCTCGTGCAAGCTCCCCTGAAAGGCGCGCTTCTGGCTGCAGGGCGTCAGACCAGGCGATGGCCGTCATCGCTGCACGAGGGACCAGTTCAGAATGCAAAATGTTGCAATACATTTCAACATCTGGCTTGATAATTTCGGCTGCCCAGCTGGGCAACATTCGCTGTTGCCATGCACCATCTCTGTGCAATCTGCCCTGATCATGGGATGCCACGCCTCGGAGTGAATCACAGGACCTTGCATGCACAGCTTGCATGGCGCTGTCTGGCCTTTAACCTGCTCTTGAAATACTGATTCTAGGTGACTGATTAAATCTAGTCAGCTGGACTCGTGTTTGAAGAGCCACTTCAAGAACCACTTGGGTAGCTTGCCTGACCGCACAAAGCTGCAACACTGGGTTAATCAGAGGACTGCGTGTGTGCAGCATGTGCGTATGGCTGGCCTTGTAGCACTCTTAATAAAAGTAGTGGAATGTAGTGTTGCTCCTGTACAGTGTTCTTGTCCTTCTTGGAACGTTTTTTGAACTTTCATATTGTCGTTGTCGGCTCTTCAAGCCACGAGGGTGGCACTTGCACATTCAAAGGTGGCGAATATTTGGGGAAGAGATTGGTACTGATGGCACAGTGATGCGTCCATGGGGATGACAGCATGAGGAGGGCACGGAAAGACAGATGCAAGGCGGGTCCTACAGAAGGGCAAAAGGCCGAAGGCCGTCACATCACATTTACCCAGGTTACTGTCAGTATCCACTAGACAGGAATATGTCGCAGCCGTACCAGACTTGGTGACTTACAGTACTTTATTGTAGCACTTCATCTTGAAGGGATGTTGGTGGCGGGTACCGGCCCACCTAGGGAATGTCCCAAGCGCTGCATTGAATTGCAGCCTGGGGCTTGAACTCAGAAATGAACTCGCCTGCACGTCGTTGGCGCCCTTTCCTTGCCCGCATGTTGAGTACCCAGAATCGCAGAAATGTCTCAGAGCGTGGCGGGTGTGTGAATGGGCGCAGCACTGTGGAAGCATCAGGAATCGCTGGTGGAAGCGTCGCCAAAAATTTGTGGGCGCTGGGGGCGGAGAGGGAAGCGCTGCGCTGTCAGGGTGCAGAAAATACGGAATGTCTGTTCCTGGATTGTGTGTGAGAAAATGTAAACTGTAAACCAACCGAGGCATAAACCGTAAAGATAAACAAACCGTTAATGCTCATAAATAGATTATCTTCAATGATGTACAAAATGTTCATGAAGTATCTGTCGAGTATTTTAGATACATAACAAGAGAACATATGGGTTTTAGATGTATAATAGGGGGGCCTGAGCCTGGAAGTCAAGGGCGGGCATTGGCGTTTGTCTGGCGAGTGTTGTCTCAACCCTTTTTTTGGGATAGAGTGGAGCAAGAATCAGTACTTTGCAGTACTTTCTGCCTGTGTCCTATTTTGTAGACGGTTTCAATGTTCTTAGTGTTTTAGGGGCACTTCTTTGAATTTGTTTTTGTGTGCCTGTTCCTCTGCAGGATGTCCTGAGCAGGCGTGAGCCCACGCAGGTTAGTGTCTGACATATGCCTCTGCAAAGTTCATATAATTTGATTTAATCACGTAAGCAGTGCCGCACTGAACAGCTTGGCTGCTGTTGTTACCATTTTCGCCATGGGCACTGCTCGCTGTAAAACGACTGTTGTTGGCTACATGTACTTGAGCGAGTACTGAATTGTTGTAGTACGGCGCAACTGTCAAACACTACGTTCGAGCACCACAGCCGCTATTGCAGTTCAGCAATGTGGCAACAGCGCCTTTGCATGCACGAATGAACTGTCGGCTGATTTGCATTTCTTTAATAAACAATAACAGATATGTAGTGGTAATAGATAGTAGTAATACAATAAAGAGATAAACAATAAACAATAATAAGACCGCAGTTCGAAGAGAGGTGATCTCCGTTTCTGGCGATGGAAAATTGCGTCTGAAATCTTGCGGTTAGTTGTGCTGCGGCACATCTCAGGATATGGCAAGCAAGAATCCCCGCGGTCCACCTGCTCTTGTGTGCATCGGAAGGCTCCCTCATACTTTCTCATTCTTTCTCATATTTTCTCATGCTTTCTCAAATTTTCTCAGCTGACTTGTCAATTGATAGAGAATCGATTGATATGACTGATTTGGTTGGAGGTAAATAGCAGGTGGCTGATTCACTGATGAAAATGATCAGCACAGCTGATCAGTTAGACCTGAATAGCAGCTGACTGAAAAGATGGCGCATGATGATTACCACGGCTGATTTAATTGGTGGTCAAGATGGCACTTACATGCATGCAGGGCTAAGGTCCCCCCTTTCCTCACACAAGACGGGAGCTATGGGGGGAGTTTAATTGGTGGTAAATGGCAACTGACGGAAAATTTGATTAGAAAATGCATGGACGCAGCCGACTTAGTCAGAGGTAATGAGCATGTGACTGACAAATTGATAGATAACGATCAACGTGGTTGATTCAATGAGAGTTAAGATTCCCGTTTATGATTTGTCAGGAGCAGAAGGCCGCCATGTTGGATGCGGCGGCACAGGGGAGAGGGTCCAGCCTGAGGCTGCTGCTGGGCATGGGCTTGGACCCTAATTTCGTCGACGAGGTGAGGCTCTAAATTACTGGCAGAAGCCTCAATGCTCTTGTTGGTAAACTACTGGGTATACTCGGCGCCTCGCATGTTGTTAAGGCATCGAAGGCGAATTGGGAAGCTAACGGTCGCCTCGTTGCCTCGCTATGTAATGATGATGGTGATGATGATGATGATGATGATGATGATGATTCCTGAATCGTTGAGAATCATGCGAAATTGCTGGCCGCAGGAGGGCGACACCCCGCTGCACAAGGCGGCCCGCTATGGGAAGGAAAACGCCCTGGCCGTTCTCCTTGACGCTGGCGTGCTGTGTGACGTGCAGAACCACGTGAGTGCCCTTGCCAAGGAGGCGCTATAAAGTCTTTACAGCATGTACAGTATTTACAAATTTTTACAGTATTGTTTAGAGTAATTCACACTAATTGTACACCATTTAATGCTGAGCCCTCCTGGGCCGGGCGTCCTATGTGATGCGCAGAACCCCGTGAGTGTGCTTGAATCGCCCTTTCAGGAACATTGTTACAACCAGGTGATGTAACGGAAAGTAATGCATTCCAATGTATTGTAATGTATTTTATAGTGTGTTCCAGTGCTTTTTTATTCCAAAACATTACATCGCATTTCAGCGTCCATGTTTCTCCCCTGCCCTATCACAAGATGTGTGGACCTTAACCCACCAGGCAAGAGGGTGCAAGGTGTGTTCTAATGTATTGTAATGTGTTGCATTGTATTGTAATGTTTGGTAATGTATTGTATCGTGTTGTGTTGTATTGAGCGTTTAATGCCACTTTCCCCGAAACAGGAGCAGCGACTGAAAAAACGCCGTTGGTCTCAGAACATTCTTTCAGGGACAGCGGTACAAGCGGGTGCTGTGATGTACAGATCCGTAGGTGAAAAAAATACTTGCGGCAATTCGTTCTTGGGACTGACCCCCATGTATTCCCCCACGCTTCCAGATCGAGTACACGGCACTGGTGTTAGTACCGGTGTTGGTGCTGAACAACAAAAAAACTGGTGGCTGTGCTGGCCAACCAAGTACTGTTGTTAGTGCTGGTGAACAAAGTGCTGCTGCCAGCACTGTTGGACAAAGCACTGGCGCCAGGACAATTGAACAAAGTACTGACGCCCATACGTTGCCAGATCGAGTACACGGCAATGCACTGGGCTGCGTGTTTTGGGCGCCTGGGCGTTGCCCGCCTGCTGCTGGGCCACGGCGCCAACGCCAAGATTTTTGCAAAGGTAAGAGCATTGGGCAACCCACTCAAGATGTTTATGTAGTACAGAAACGCTGTTGCTGGAAAGTATGTGACAAGGCTCCGTTCTTCTTGTTATAATACTCGGTTGACCATTTCTTCCCTGGAACGGCGGTCAGAGTACTGCAAAGTACTTCACGTGAGGCAAATTGTATCCTGTGGAGTGTTTCAGAAGGGTTAGGTTTGGCTATTGCGCCAACGCCAACGTTTGTGCAAAGGTGGGTCTTTCAATTCCCTTTCAGGAAGAGCAGTGCAACACATTACTGTGAAGTACTGAATCTTGTACCGCTTTCCCTGAAACATTGTTTTTCGCGTGCTGCACACTGTCAGGAGATTTGTGTACGACAAAATGTTGCAGAATATTATAGAAAATAGTTTATGTGCTGTGTCGTTTACAGTGTTTCTGAAGGTGCAGGCCTTCCACCGCTTCCAAAAAAATATGTCGGCTGTCGACACCATTGCGGTTGGCGAAGCGTTTGTACTTGAATGCATTTGCTTGAGCTGATTTACATGTGTAATGTGTCGACATTGTGTTTTTGTGTAGTGGTGGGCAGCAAGAACAGTAGCAGTACCAGCAATAGTAGTACCGACAATAGTAGCGTCAACAACACTAGCAGTAGTAACGATAACGATGGCAAAAGTGATATTGATTGTTGTGTGGTTTTGCTGTTCGCGCTACTCGCTCGCACTCACACACGGTCGCTCCCAGGCACGGGAAGCAAGCCGCAACCAGATGGATTACAGAACGGTTCTGTCCGTCATGTAGCATTCACCGCAAGCATGTTCAGTTCGTGCCTTTCCCCCATTATTCTCCATGTCGCCATAATAAACACCATGTTCAATTCACCATACCCCCTTAACTACTCATACACCTTTTCCTTGTCCTCACATTGATGATGAGAACGATACTGACAACGGTACTGATGCTGATAATGCATTTCCCAACACATAATGTAATAAATACTCTAGTAAATGACAAGAAATAAATGATGAATAATAAACGCCTTGAGCAACGACGCTGACTATTTGCACCAATTTCTCTTCAGGGTGGCGGGCCGTTGCAGATGCCGAGGGGCACACCCGCCAGGATTGCCAGCAAGCACGGCTACGACGAAGTGCTCGATCTGCTGTAAGTGATGCGCTAGAGTACTGGGGAGATTCGCCGTAGTCCACGACGCTTAAGTACTGGACCTGCGGCTGGCGCGCTTGCCTGAAACCCAGTCATGTCGGCTTTGTCTGACCGGCCAGGATTTGATTCGTTCGTATTTGTAATATGTATTGAAGTGGCTTTTGTTTTAACAAGTAGCTTTTACTCCAATGGTGGTATCTGCTTTTGCTTATCGCATTCACCAATCGTACATATTTAATTCTACTTCAGTGTGTACTTGATGCTGTTCGCGTTTTGCTCCTTAGAGCTTGACTGAAATGAGTTCTACTCATGTCAATTGGGCATCAGCGTCCATCTGCGTGCAACAGCGATTCTGCATGCACATCGCGGGCGTGCGCATGTTTTTGATCCTGGCAGTTTAGTCATCGTTGATGAACAGCGGTCAGGGAAAAACATAATGTGAATGTGCTGTATTATGGGAGTATTAACTTGCAAGAAAGGTCCAATTCTTGGAATTTCTGCTTGACGGGGTATTCCAACGAAGTTCAAATTTTAAATCCATCCAATGAATAGCGACGAATGGTGATCGAAAATGGCTAGCAGTCATGACTAGTTGCGAATGGTGGTGTTAATAACGAGTGGTGACGGAACAGTGACGAATGGCGACGAATGGCGACGAACAGCGGCGATTATTGACAAAAGAAAGAGACGAATGATGACGGAATGTTATGAGCAGCTACGAATAATGATTATCTGTAGCGAATAATGCACGCATTATACGAATTGTGACGCGTGCGGGGCGTTGGCTTCCTTGCAGCAAGGAAGTTGTCGAAGTCGAGGACCATGAGGAGAGCGAAGACGAAGGAGTGGAGGACCATGTCGACGAAAAAATCGACGACAATTTCGTCGAAACGTTCAATGGCAAAAATGGAGAAAACTTTGGGGAAAAAATGGATGAAAACATCGATGGAAGTTTTGGCGAAAAATTTAGTGAAAACAGCGACAAAGAGCTCGATGAAAAGAGCGACGAGGAGGAAGACGACGAGGAGGAAGACGACGAAGACGACTATTTCGAATGGGACCACCCGTGTCTGGAGCTGTCCGGCAGCCTGTCGGGCGCGTCTGGGCAGGGGGCGCCCAGCTGAGCGCCCCTTAAGTACTGGACGTGCCGCCGCCTCTGGTGCCTAGTGCTGGGCGTGCCGTCGCCTGCGCTGCTTAGGTACTGAGATGGCAGGGCGTCTGTTCAGAATGTCGTTCTGGAAATCGCGCCAACAATAAAGCACTGGACGGGCTTGGCGCAGTCCGTGTTGCCGATCCCAGCGCTGGTCGCCCGATGGAGTGTTTTATTACCGTGGAAGTTGACCTGAAGCTATTGCTCATTTAGAAGATTGTTTAGCTCATCAGGCGAATGTGCTTACGCCATCATCCTGGCCAGAATCGGGGCTGCCGCAACGCATGAGGCGACTTAGCTACACTGCTCGAAATTGATTAAATGGCGGCCTCGTGGTGTTTTAGATTACCAAATTTAGACAAAAATTAGGCTAATTAGGGCGGGGCACTTTTAGAAGGCTCGGTCGACGCTTCTGGCTGCTGTCGCAATCAGTTAGCATCCTCGTCATTCCGGGCAATTTCTTTCCTGAGCGGAAACAAATAAAACGTGATATGGAATCGCCCATTTACTATCATTAGCCTCATTCAATCACATCGCGCCCTGATGGAAATTCGTTTTAATTTCAGTGGCTTGCTTTTCCGTACATATGATTTGGGACTTTCCGTATAATACTATCTTGGGATGGGCACTTCCGAAGTATAGCTAATTGTTGCGGGTGTACCATATGATTGGTTGCTCAGTGTTGTAGTGCGTTTGGGCACCTGGGACTGCGATTCCCTTTCTTGAATGTATGTGGCAAGTTTGGGAGAATTTGTGTTTGTAATTTCTGCGGAACGTCCAGATTGAAACGTCCAATTCTAAATGTCTTACTTGCCGAGGTGCGGGACGAGTGGGGGCGGGGCGTTGGTAGGAATCTGGTGGATACTTTTGTAGATACGTGCGGTTGCTCTTGGATGCTCGTGGGTAAGCGTGGATACGTGCAGATGCTTGCGGACGCTTGTGAACAAGTGCGGATACCTGTCGGTATCTGTGGGTACGTGTGGATGCTCATCGATGCTTGTGGCTGAATGTGGTACTTGTGGATACACGTGGATATTTGTGGGTAACCTGTGCAGGCTCGGTCTTTGCGCTTACAAGACCATTTTGTGTTCGCGTCTTTGTGCGTAGAAACGCGCAAAGACAAAGAGGCTATTTTTTGTGGCTGCATTTTCATGTTTTTGCAGCGCATTGCGACACCCGGGTTACGTGATGAAGTCGCAAGCAACCATCAGTCCTTTTTCCACTCGGGCCTGCGATACAACGTCCACCTCGCCCTAAGGCAAGGGCGACGCCGCCGCCAATGAAAAGGCCGTTTCCTTCAGAAACCCAGCGCATCTGGCTGCCACTTTCCACGCTCCCCGAGTCTGCATGTACTGTATTTATTTATGCGGGCTGTATTGACGTACTTTTTGAGCGTCTTTATTCGCAAAAATGTAAACAGTATTTTTATGAGTAAGTATGCATAAATGCACCGTGCTTACCCCATTCCGCGCGGCCCATTTGACAAACGGGACACTGGACATTGGACAGTGTGTCCTCCACCGCGTACAACACGGCATGCACCCAACACAGCATTTATTCTCCGGCCGAATCTCGCGTGCCCAAAACGCAATAAACCCTTCAGAAGATGTGATACACGTCACACACATGCACTATAAAGTACTGAGCCTTGTGCCACAGTTCCCCAGGACTAGGTCACACGTTACCGAGCCTTGCGTCAGCTCTGTCTCAGCATCCGACGCGCTGGCCAGCGACCGCCGAACGGCCCTCACCCTCGATGCACGCACTGCGACTGCGCGGCCCACCTTATTCCTGGACGCTCTTAGACCAGAGCCAACCGCCAACAGCACTTTGGCCAAAACACCGCTCTCTTTTTCAATCTGTCAATGCCTCTGCTCCGCAAAAATGCGTCGACTCCCTTCGCCAAGTCCCCAGCCAGCCCAACGGCCAAATACAGAAACACCCCAACCAACGCGACAATGAAAGCCGACGAAATAGCAACTGCCCCCCAGGCCGAGGAGTTGGGGTCGCTGAAAATGAGACGGGCGAAGAAGGACAGGCACGAGCACGCCAGAGATAAGGCCTTCGTGCAGTTGAGATTGGGAGTTGTGGGTCACGAACGGGACCCACGTGGTGTGGGTGGCCAGGGCAACCGTCATCACCGCCAGGGCCAGAGTGGCCTGCAGGTTGGTCCCCAAGGCCAGCCCGAACAGCGCGGCCGCGGAAAGCAGACCCTTTCTGGCCATCGCCACGGCTTCCGAACATCTGCACCCTTCTCTGTAGGGCTGGTACAGGAATCCGTGGGCGCCCGGGGAATATTCTCGTTGGGCGCGGTCCCCCGCCAGAGCACTACCACGGACAGCCACGCTGGCATGCCCACGGTCACAGCGAGCACGAGGAGTGTGGCCAGAGCGGCCTCCGTGGCTAGGTGGCTCCATTTATGGCACTCGATATCTGTGTCTTCCGCTCAGTAGTTTGAGAGGGCGATTGCGTAACCGCCCGTGTCGTCTTTGTTTTTGTCGGCTTTTACGCAGCCCAGGACTCTCAGGGCGTTGCGCGCCATCTCTGTGTACGAATGTACGGCATGGAGGGTAGGGAGACGCGCCAGACGAGGAAGGTGGATTCTCGGGTCCACTTTCTGGCATTCCACGCAACGGAAGACGACAGCGCGAAGAAGGCGATGACAACAAAGGGGAAGGCCAAGACGGCGACTGTGCGCTGCACAGAGAGGTTGGCTCATTCCAGGGAGAACAGACCGCCGCTGCTCGGGGCCAGCAGGTCTGGCCAACACACACAAGCTGCGCCTTTCAGGCAAAAAAAGGTTGCGGGAAAAACAAGTGGTGTAGACACTTGCAGAAAACGCAATTTTCACACCGATATATGGTGAGCAGATGTGGAACACACACGCTGGGTGTGCCTTTCAGCAAAAGAAAGTATCGGGAAAAACAAGTGGCGTGGGCACTAGCAGGCAACACAATTTTCGCGGTGCCATTCGACAATGAGTGGGTCCACTGCAGCGACCACGAAGGAATGAAAGCAGCTGCGATGGCATCGATTAGTGTCAAGTCGCATGGCGTTTGACCTCACCAAAATGGCCTTTTCTACTGGTGAAGGTTCAGTGCCCTGCGACATTATCTGTATCACGTTTGCTTGGAAAAGTGTTCGAAGCATCTGGCTCGCTTCCAATTCTGGATCCTCGATCTATCCTACCATCAGTGTTTAGAAGGAATACACTTATTCTGGCCTTAGCGCATCACAGAGAAGGTGCTTTTCAGCGAAAGACAAGGTATTGGGGAAGGAACGGTATCTATACCGCACGGCGCCGTATCGATAACTTGGTATCTAAAGTAGCCTGTAACGTACTGACAGTATTTAACAGTATTTGCAGTACTTGCAGTGCAATTTTGCAGCGTCCGTTTTCAGTACTTTGCAGTGTCGGTTTCAGTATTTTGCAGCATTTTGGTATCACCTTTGCTTGGAAGCGCACTCGAAGCCTCGGCCTTTCATTAAATCACCTTTCCGAAGACTCCGCCATTGCCAGCGCTAGGAGGAGAATGTTCTTTTCGTTACATTCCTTGAATGAAGGGAAAGTACCTGAACGGCATGTGTAACCTGCATTGGAGCTCTTACATGTGCGTACCGAGGCCAAGGGCATGCAAAGTGTATTTGCGTCCACGTAAGCGTACTCGTCAATGAACGCGTGGTCATTTCCCAAAGAAGGCTGGAAAGGACGTGCGCAAACCATTCTGTAGGAATGGCGCCATTTCGTGAAACGCCATTTCTGGCTCATTCTGAGAAGGGACACTTCCAAATTCACATGCAAACATTTGCTGATACTTTGAAGGACATACAGGATGGACGGGGATACATCAGGCGGCACAGCGCAGCGTTGTGGCAGCGGCGAGAGGCCGTGGCTACGTGCGTGGTGTCACACCTGCCACCCCGAGGGCTTTCAGGACGGAGGCGCTCCAATTCGCGCCGATGAAGACTGCGAGGCCGGTGACCTGCAGGAAGTTGATGAGAATCTGCAGAGAGCGTCAATCGGTCAGAAACAGGCGGGCCTAAATTTTCCCCACACGCTATCCGTGAAACACACATTCGAACTATTATGCTGTGATGCGCGTGCTGCTACCTCAACCTCAGTGAGCGTTGGACACATGGTGGCACCATCGTGCTGTTTTCGATGGCAGAGAAGTGGGCGTGGTGGCAGAAATTAGTGTCAAATGGCATCGCGGTTGTCGTCGCAAGAACATTGGCTACTTCTGATGATAAGATGTTATTGACCCCTCGATGGCGAATCTCTAGAATTTTAACTGTTTCGCAGGCTTCCTGATCCGCTGTTCTTGCAGGGATTCACAAGAATTGTCGATCTCCCTCCAGTGGCCAAAAATGTGTCCAAAAATGGGGTCGAGGCTGCACGATTTGGACCCATTTAAAAATGTTTTGAGCTTGAAATATATTTCCTACATCCTGTATATACAGGATTTTACCTGTTCTAACACAATTCAAACAAAGCTAGAAAATGTGTAAGAATGTACATTTTTGGCCAGCGCGCATTACCTTGAAAATATCTGAGGCGCAGTTCCTGGCTCTCCCTGCCGCCGCCGACCCACTTCCCCCGGTGTCGAGAACACCAGGCGAAGCTCGGCTCCTTCCAATGAGATGGGAAGACGGAGAAATCCGACCATCCTGGGCGTGTGCTCATGCAGTAGTTCTCACCATGCGCGGTGCCGCTCGCGCCCGCCACGCTTTGGTATCTCTTCGCAGCAGCTGACAGGACGTTCTTTACCATGAAGACCGCGAGAATGACAAGCCACAGGGCCGCAAGGCACGCGAGCAGTACGTCCCTGGCCTTTCCGCCGCATCTGATGCATTCTATGGATCTGATTTTGCCGTGCCTGGAGGTGCAGGCGCTGCATAGTATGCCCCGGTAAGATGTGAAATCGCATGCAAAATTTGATTGAGGTACGAAACATATTCTCTAGTATTACTATG